TCAGTAGTTTATTGTTCATTTATCAACTGTAGTCAGTTAAGATAACAGATTAATATGAATTAGGAGGTGTTAACAAGTTACTAACTTCTGTTGACAGGGATTATGTAGCACGCATGGGTCTGGGAGTCATCCTCAACCTGAGTCGCCAGCAGGAAGATGCTCAGCTGGCTCGCAGTGTCTCCGGCATCCTGGAGCACATGTTCAAACACACCGAGGAGACGTCTGTCCACCTCATCTCCAACGGCGCCCTGGACGCCCTCCTCTTCTGGTGCCGAGGCACAGACCCCACTGTGCTGCGCCACTGTGCTGTGGCGCTGGCAAACTGTGCCATGTATGGAGGCCACCGCTGCCAGCGATGGATGATCGAAAAGCAGGCAGCTGAGTGGCTTTTCCCTCTGGCCTTCTCCAAAGAGGACGAACTCATTCGCTTCCACGCCTGCCTGGCTGTGACTGTGTTGGCTACAAACAAAGAAATTGAGAAAGAGGTGGTGAAGTCAGGAACCTTGGAGCTGGTGGAACCGTTCATCGCTTCTTTGGATCCAGATGACTTTGCCCGCAGTTTATTGGACAGTGCAGACTGCATGCAGGGGAAGACGGCGTCTGACCTGCAGCACCTCTTGCCTTTACTGGATGGCACAAGACTGGAGGGAAAGTGTATCGCAGCATTTTACCTTTATGTTGAGACCAGCATCAAGTCCCGTCAGCGAAACACCAAGGTACAGTCACCGTCCACTTAACACACAACAAACATTAAAATAACATACTGCTTTTAGTAGCTTTGGTGTGACTGAGTTTTAATTTTGTGCTTCTTTTCAGATATTTCAAGAGATCGGCGCAGTGCAGAGCCTGAAAAGAATCGTCATGTACTCCAGTAATGGTACAGCTTCTTCCCTCGCCAAGCGGGCGCTGACCATGATGGGAGAGGAAGTACCAAAACGAATCCTGTCTTCTGTGCCCAACTGGAAATCATGTGACGTGCAGACGTGGTTGCAGCAGGTTGGCTTCAGTGCCTATTGTGACCGTTTCCAGGTGAGTAAAACATCTACAGAAAGATGAATACAGATCCATTAATCCATTAATTCATCCACAGCTCAGCTGATCATGTTTCACTGCTCTTATTATCCAGGAGCTTCAGGTGGATGGAGATCTCTTGCTGAACATCACAGATCATGATCTGAGCTCTGATTTGGGAATGACTGCAGGCCTCACGCGAAGGAGGCAAGTGGTAAAATCCTTTCAACTCACACGTCTGAGGATGTAACACTGCACTGTAAAAAAAAAATCAGTTGAAAAGTGATGAAAATCTAGCAGCAAGTGTGCCCGAAAAATCTGATAAAAAGTGGAGAATTATTATAATATTCCAAAAAAGCTGAAAATGTGAAAATAACTGCAAATATCTATAAAGTAATTATATTTTTTGATTTGATTTAAATGCAATAAAACAATGTCATCTTATGGTCACATGTTATAAAAGAAGGAATTGCTATTTGTAAAAATATAGATTTCTGAAGTGGACAATATGTATAGTTTGTAAATTAACCCTTTTTTTCTGTGGCTATACTAAAAAAACCTCTAAAATAAGTTTAAAATTATTTAACATTTTTCAATCCTTTATATATTTTTTCTTTCAAAAAAATTTACATATTTATAAAATAATCAGATTTAAATACAGTTAATGATCAAGCATTGTCAAAGAAAACATCACGATTTGTAAAATACAGATTTATTTATTTACATTTAAAGCCAACATGTAAATTAACAACTTTTTTGTGACTATACCAGACATTATCTGTAATTTAAAAAAAAAAAAAAAAAATACAGGTAAGATCTGTAAAATACCAGTTAATTGTTAAAAAATGCAGCTAAATACAATACTTTATTACAGTGTGATGTCATTTCCTTCCTGCTCTGCCTCATCGTCCAGGTTTCTGAGAGACTTGCGCGTTCTGAAGACTTACGCCAACTATGCCACATGTGACCCAAACAACATGGCCGACTGGTTGGTCGAGGTGGACCCTCGTTTCCGGCAGTACACCTACGGCCTGGTCCAGTCTGGAGTGGATCGCTGCAACATCCAGCACCTCACTGACCTGCAGCTGCAGAACGACTGCCGCATAGACAACGGAGTCCACAGAGCAAAGATACTGAACGCGACCCGCAGGCCTTTAAAACCATGTCACACAGACGCTCGGCCTGCAGGACCAGACGTGTTCATCAGCTACCGTCGGACCACCGGCTCCCAGCTGGCCAGGTCAGAACTGAAGCGGGACTAGAGGTGGTGGTCATTTAGTAGGGATGCATCATTGGCCGATTTTTTCTAACTAACTTTGACTGATGCTGAATCTCATACATGCCCATATTTTCTTGGCTTAAATGTAGAGAACATCAGATCTGTCCTGCAGCAGAGTTAACATATTATTATGGCAGGTTCAGACATGAAACACAAAGCTTTTCAAATGTACACAATCACAAGGCAAATAAAGAAAAGTTACATTTCAAACTAACATCAATCACAACTCTGCTTGTCAATAGCAGTTTTTTGGCCGATCCCAGCATTTCATTTTAAATCCCTGATTGGCCGATTCTGACGCTGATATCATTGTGCATCCTTATCTTTTAGGAATACAAAAATAATGACATTAACCAACCTTCACCTTGTCATTCTCTCTCCCAGCCTTCTGAAGGTGCACCTGCAGGTTCGAGGATACAGCGTCTTCATAGATGTGGAGAAGCTGGAGGCGGGCAAATTCGAGGAGAAGCTGATCCAGAGTGTCCAGAGGGCGCGTAACTTCATCCTGGTCCTGTCGGCCAACGCGCTCGACAAGTGCATGGGTGACACAGCCATGAAGGATTGGGTGCATAAGGTCAGACATTTTCCATTCTCTGTATGCAAGATTGAAATGTCCGGTCTCACTGTATCTAGTTTTTGCCAAAAACGTTTAGATCACTGAACCTTAAGCCCTTATTGAGATAAAACAGCTCAACAGAATGACCTGGATTATATTAGATCAGATAAGCCCTTTGAACCACAAAACCCACAAGCAAGCCAAAAAGGCATTTTCTCTTTAAAGAAAATCAGCACAACCCCATTTATCAGAGCTGGTAGCTAAATTTTGGGCAGATTTTCAATTTCTCTATGTTTTTTTTTTTTTTTTTTTAAACTAATCATACATGAGGTGCAGTTTGGTTGGAAATAAATCTACCAAAAATATCTTAATATCATGATATTTTATACAAAATACTTTTTTTCTATGTCTCATTTAAAAATTCACTGAATATAAATCACTTACTCTGATCAGACTGTGTAAAAAAAATGAACCTGTGCTCCTGCCAACAAGTCATTAGTGACTCAGCTGCAATCAACAGTTATGTGAGATAAAAATGTGGGACTTTTCAACTGAACTTGGCTGAACTGTAAGCAAATGTTTACACAGAACAGATAGGAGACAAATATGGATATAAATTACAAATATAAACAGTAAAATATCTTTGGACGTAAACTCACAATCTTGTTTTTACAGTATTGGCAACACATGTGGTCGCTGGGAGAAATGTTGGACATGTTGATTTAAAGTTTTTGAATTTTTTGTAAAAATATGTAAAGCAATTGAGCTTTCATTAAACAGTGCACAAAATGCATTTTTGAGTTCTCTGTACCTCTAAACCATGGTTGTGCTGTTTCCATAGAGGTGCAGAACTTTATAATACAGTAAAAAATTAACCCACAGTGAAGAACAATGTGTCAAAAACATGGTCAGAAACTGTTCAGAGGGTTAAGAAGAGCATGCATATAACATTCAAGCTGATTGTTCTGTGTTCGTCTACACTGCGGCAGTTTTGCATTGTGATCGCCCACGTACATCTGCTCTTTCTGTGCATGTTCTGTTCTGTAACGCAATACTGTCGACTAGCTACTTTTATCTAAGCCTAACGCATGTTCATGTCCTCACAACGAGATCAGAAAATAGTACCAACCCACTCATTCTCCCTATCTGAGCTGTTATAGTAAAGCTCACATACATAGTGTCGCTAAAGCAAGAGATCAGATGATGTTTTGCCTCCAGATGAATCAAGTTATTTGTGCTTCCACTGGTTTGGAAGTTACATTTCATACGTTTTGCCTTGCAGGAGATTGTCACGGCTCTGGCTGGTAAGAAGAACATAGTTCCTGTCACGGATAATTTCATGTGGCCCGACCCCATGTCTCTACCAGAGGACATGAGAGCTGTTCTCAACTTCCATGGCATCAAGTGAGTCTCTGTACACTCTGCTGTAACTGGGGCAGCACATTTTGGTGTTTACCACGCTGCGATGTTATGTACATTTCAGGGGAAATCCATTTTTCAACAAGTGCAGCTAGTTAAGAGTTTGTCACTTTTCATGCCACTGGTAATACTCTCTAGGCCTCATATTTTTTTCATGTGTATTTTATCAGTACAAGGGTAACATTTATTATTTATGATAGATATTTATCAGATGAATGCACATCATCACAAACCTGCTGCCGTCTCTCTCCAGATGGTCCCACGAATACCAGGAGGCCACGATCGAGAAGATCCTCCGCTTTCTGCAAGGACACCAAGACCAAATCGACGGTCCGGACGGCTCCAAGGGGCAGAAGAAGAAATGAATTGACATAAACGCAGTTAGACCTCAGCTATAATAACTATTTGTGATGCCAAAATTCCACATGTTCTTTGGTAAACCGTCCAGCAGCTTTCCCTGCTCTGCCCAAATGCATGTGAAGTGAATTAGATTACACGCTCACCAAACGCCTAATATCGATAGACTCAATCAAGTATAAACGATCATTTAAAAACCAAATTTCAGATTGTATATAGCAAACTGTAAGCCTTTAATGTTAGCTCCCCTCATACTGCTGTATATGTGTAATCAGGCACAGTATACGCCTTCTGTATCTCAGGAAAATAACTGTGATCAGCCGTCATTGGCACCCAGCAAACAGCAATCCACGAACACTTCAGTCTGCGTAAAAGTTTCTTCATATGCAATCATCTTTTGTTTACACATTAAAAGGACCAAAGCGGGTCTCAGATTTTCTGACACGTCTATTTTCTTTTTATGTTTTAGCGTGAAAGAAAGAAAAAAATCTTTCGTAGCAAATTTACCACATAACTGAATAAACGAATCACTCCAAAAACACATTTAAAAGCTTCAGATGCAATGAAAAATATCCATGTAGTATTCAATCTTTCTGTTACTAAAGCGCATTAAAGTGACTTTGACATACATTAACCTACACAACTCAAAAACAGGTTTATGACTGCCGTACTGCAATACATTAAACTATCATTTAATACTACTGACTTGAGATTTATTTCACCCCAGTGCTTAGTCTGTTGAGTAATTATTTGTCTGCTTGGCAACTGAAATTTTTTCCTTGTTTAGCACAAAAAAAAAAAAAAAGTCACATGAAGTGCAAACATGTAAAAATGAAAGTCAAGAAAAACATCCTGCTGTGATTCATCATTTAAGTCCAACAAATGAACCGCAGCAGTCATCAGGATGCGTCGATCAGATTTATTGTTCAAAAAAATGACATTTAACTTAAAGAACATAATTTTTTTTTGCCTCGCCTCATAGACTTGTAATGACATTTACAACAGTGGTCTTTCCAGATTGAACTAGAACCCTTTTCTTCAGGGCTTTTTTTCTTACATTGCCTTAATATTATTTGCCTGTAATGCTTTATAAAAATATGTATTACTATATTTATTAATTGTGCTCTGTGCATTACTTAACATTACCTTTTTTTGTCCAGCACTAACATGTTATTTGTTACCAGTGTTCCATGAAAGAAAAAGTGCTGCGTTCACTTAAAACAGAACGATCAGAAATAAAACAAGTTGTACAAAAAAAACAAGTGAAATTCTTCATTTCTTTACTTCACCCACTTTACATGATACATATAAACAGAAATCATGAACCATCGTATTTTTCACAAACGTTTTTTCTCCAATCAATCATTACTTGAACTTATAAATATTGCACCAGTGATTATGAAGAAGACTAGACAGTTTTGTTATACAAAAGCATGTCTTAGATCACGATTCAACCGAACTGCAGTCCAGTGTCAGCGACAATCTTCATGTGGATCAATTCACAGTAGCTCAGTTAACACTTCACTTAACCTTCCAACTTCCCTTTGTGCATTTTAAAACAGATTCAGCAGCTCTTGTTCCCCAACTGTGAAGATGGGACATGACCCCTGTGTGCATGTTGGCTGTGGGGTTTGTGCTGTGGGACTCTCGGGTGTTTGGCTGTGGTGGGGAAAGAAGGTAGGGAGGCTCTGCAGGGAGTTTGGGTTTTCTAGAAAGAGGGGGGAGGGTAAAGAGGAAATTCAATAATCCTTGCTGCTGCTATAATTTCACTCTGTGTTGTGAATTACTGGGAGATGGGCTTGGACATGTTTTGCACAGCTTACAGTGTGATATCATGAGTCATACTGACATCGCTGGGTTTCATTAAACACTTCGACCAGCAGCTTTGGCATAGCTGTTAAACTGGCTGACTCTCCGCTCCAACATGCAGAGCACTTAGATTTTTTAGAAAACAAAAATAAAAACATCAGCGTACAAAAGTCACATATAAAACTCTACATTTTACTTAATTAAAAGTACAAAAATATGAGAATCAAAGTATAATGTAAGTACTAAATGTTGAAGGACTCATTATGCAGAGTGGTGTGTTTCAGAATAATGTAAATGAATGAATTACTAACTGATAGACATGACTTTACTGTTGTAGCTGGTGGAAGTTGGGCTTGTTTTATCTAATTTATATACTTCTTTTACATTTTTGTGAAATGAATATTCAAAAGAATCCAACTCTTTTTTTTAAATAAACATGTGCGGCGTTATAATTGTGTCAAACTGGACAGAAGACAGTTTTCATTTCTCTCTGCTTCTGCTCATGGTTATACTGTTTTCATAGAGATGCAGGACTTCATATTGCAGTGAAAAATGAGCCCATGGATAAAAATGTGACAGGAGCAAAAACAGACTGACTGCACTTCAGAGCCTTAATGAAGCCTCATCTGATAATAATTTGTTAATAATTCCATTTTGCATCGTAAAAAGTAGAATATTTGCCTGTGAATTACAGTGGAGTGGAAGTATAAAGGAGCAGAAAATTAATGTACTCAAGTATACAAGTCCTCAAAACTGCTAATACACTGTTTTAACATCCACAACTG